TAGTTCTGCTTTAATCAGTTTGTCCATTTGTATCGCTAGGACAGCTGCAGTAAGTTCCAAGCGGGGAATTGTGACAGGTTTTAGTGGCGCAACTCTGGCTTTACTAAACAAAAGTGAGACGTGGGTTTGACCAATTCGATTTTCTAGTCTCAAGTATGCGACTGTACCATAGCCGCTGGTGCTGGCGTCTGCAAAATGGTGAAGCTCAGCATTTATAACAGGACCGAAGTTGTGAGGTTTGAGGCATCTACTTGATTGGAATGTCTGCAAGTGTTCCAATTGCACTATCCAGTTTAACCATTGCTGTTTTAATTCAGCCGGAATTTCTTCATCCCACCCATAACCTTTTCTGCAAAGCTCCTGTAAGACTATTTTTGCCGGAAGTATAGCTGGTGTCAGAAAACCAAGGGGATCATATATTGACGCAATGACAGACAAAATTCCTCGTCTGGTAACTGGTTTCATTTTTACCTTTTCTTCTACTGAAAACATGAACTTGTCGGTTTCTAAACACCATTGCAGCCCAAGTGCTCTTTCTGTTGGAAGTATGTCCTTATCCAGATCCAACATAGTGACATGTTTAGAGTGATCCTTCTCGGGAATTGATTTCAGAACGTTTCTGTCGTTGCTGATCCACTGAATGAGATGGAATCCTCCTTCATGACATAAGTGACTGAGATCATTGGCGACTTTGATGGCTGTGCCAACAGTTGGCAAACTTTTCAAACAGTTGTCAACGTAGAAATTATTATTGATTATGATTGTACTTGGAAGAACATGGATCTTATGTCTGCCATGAATGAAAGTGGTTCTTGCCGAAATCTCAATAAAACGCCAATCAAGGAGTTAGTCAGATTGGGACCTTGAAGAAGTTCGTCATTCAGGGAAGTTCCTTTATACTTTGCGCCGCAATCAAACACCACACGGAGTTTCCCTTTGCGAGGGTGATGTGGACTCCATGATGTGGAATATAGTAGACATTGTTTTGTGAAAGTTTAAGTTCACATTTCGGCACCAATTCAGCAAATCCATTGTTAAGTACATCAGTCATGAATTCAGTGTATTCCTTCCGAAAGATTTCCTCCCTTTCCATCCTTCTTTTTAATCCAGTTAAACGCTCTTGTGCTACACACCTGTTGTTTGGTAAATCAATGTTTGGATTTTTGAACGGTAGTTTTGAGGTTATAGTGCCCATTTTCAAACTTCACTGATTGTTCCATGATGTTGATGAACTTCTTATCATCCTGAGACAGTTCCTCGTTTTCAGGCTTCGTGCAATCTTTGAAATCGTGTTCATATTGTTTTTCCAGGAGACTTTCAATAGTGTGTAATGAAATGCGATTGACACACAAACAACTATTCAAGTCTGTGTTGTTGAGACCATCTTCACCCGAGCCACCAATGACCCACCCCAACAGAGTTTTCACAGCAAACGGTCCATCCCCCTCACTGTTAATAACTCTCCAGGGTTCATGCAACCTTGAAGCATCTGTGCCTATCAACAGTTCTACTTCAGCATCAATTTCTGGAAGATCAACATGACTTAAATACGGCCAGTGTTTCAAGTCCTTTTCTGTGATGATATTGTTTTTGTTTACAGGCATTTGTTTTTGTGTATACACAATGGGCAGTTCGTAAAATTTGGTTCCTTTAAAACTAGAGACTTCCAAATCATTTACTGTGTATGTAGTTGTTGTGGTTGTTGGACTCATTGTGAGTAAACGGATTTTAGATTTTTTCCCAGTTAAATTTAGTTTGTTCATCAAATTTTCTGTTCAAAAAGTTGAAGTTGAACCATTATCCATAAATGCGTAGGTGTGAATCACTTTGTTTCCCCTTTTTGATTTTACTGTGACAGGGAGAATGGACAGTTTTCCACCGGCCCCAGTATGATTGACATTTGTTTGAGTCAGTGCATTTGTTTGTTTGGATTCGGATGTACAGGGTTGAATAATATTTGCACTTACAGAGTGGTCAACATAATGCAGAGCAGTGGGATGACTTAACTTATATATTTGACACATCAGGGGCTTATTGCACTTGTTTGAAAAATGTCCAAGCTTTAAACACTTAAAACAAGCACCTTTTTCTATTAAAAAACTAATTTTGTCACGATGTTGTTGCTCAGTAAACCTTTGACAGAAGTTCAGTGAATGAGTTTGACTGCAGAATAAACACTCAAATGTATTTGTACTTTCACCAGAGAAATTTGTTTGTCCCACATTGACTGAAAAGTTTTCATGTTTTGGCCTTGGGTTGAATAATTCAGTGTGTTTGACACGATCTGCAGGTTGTGGTTGGAGATCACCAAAGATTGGGTCGGAAATGATTTTGACTTGTCTTTCAATAAAAGTTACAATGTCTGCGAATGCAGGTCTGCGATGCTCCGTCTCTTGAATGTCACATGCAATGTTTCTGAATTGCTCTTTCATTTTGTATGGAAGCTTTGAGATTATAGTCCTCATATTTGATGACATGCTCAGTTCATTTAGATTTGTTAGGTCAAGCATAGCATTGCTACATCCACGAAGAAATAAAGCATAATCTTGTAATAGTGTTACATTTTCTGTTTTGATAGTTGACCATTTGAGAACCTTTTGCATATATGCATTTGTGAGTTTTATTTCATGTCCAAAATGTTCATATAACAGAGACTTTGCTTTATGATATCCTTCCTCTGGGGACATGAGCAAACAGCTCTGCATTAGTTCCTTGGGGCGCCCCCTTGTGTACCTTTCCAAGAAGTACATGCAATCTCCTTTGGACGCACATTTGTCCTCAACACAGTGTTTGAATGCTTGAGTGAACACTTTATACTTCAGTGGATCACCATCAAATGTTGGAATGTCTCTGGGTGGTAGTTGTGCTGCGTTTTGCTGTTTTATTAACAAGTCAGAAATGTCATTTTGCTTCTGCAGAAACTGTATTAAAGTGGTTCTCACCCCCGCTCCTCGGAGCTTACGTTACTCACATTTCCTGTTCAAATCTTCCTCTAAATGGGCGTAGCCTGGAGGACTGAAGGGGGCGTGAACGAGACTGGGCCGTTTACATTGCTCTGGGCGGGGGGCTGCTGACGTCAGGTCCAACTTGCAGACGTCAGGTCCAACTTCTGTGCCAGTGTTGGCGCCAGATTCAAGATTCAAATGTAGTAATACAGGTCGCCAGCAGATGGCGCCTCACAGACGGTTTTAGGCAGAAAGTCTAACTTTCAACTAATTTGCACCAAAGTGACAAGATTATGACCAGGATATGTAGACAACACTATTGGACACTCATTTATACCGTTTATCAGCAAAAAAAAGTGGATTTGAGGGTGAGTTGTCCTTTAAGGGATCACTTTGTGGCTGGGTGGCAGGTGAGTATGTGCTTTGAGTCAATTGTGCAACGGTAGGAATGGCATCAGCTTGCACGTTGTGGATTACAGGTTTCATAGTTTTTGCTTTAGTGGAAGAAGTTGTGCTTTTTCTTGTTCTGAAGGCATGTGAACTCATGCAGTCACTGTAGGCATCAAGCACGTCCAGCTCTGCATCTGCAGTTCACTTTGGAGAGACCCAAGAGGAAAATGCAGTTAGAAGTTTATAGATTGAGTATGTTTGGCGCCCTAGGCCCGGGAGAGATGCTGATGAGTGCGGCGCTTGCTCGCGCGCATAATCCCCCCCGGGGCCTAAGCACTGGTGACGGCAGAGGCAGTAGGCAAGCACGCTTCGAAGAAAAGGAGGAGGTGGGGCGGCGGTGGCTTTGCTGGCTTCGGAAGGCCGGGATGTGGGCGTCTCCGGCTTTTAACTTGCTGTCCTGGTGGTTATTGGTGGATTAGATGTGGGCGTTTTGCTGGTGTAATGAGTTGAGGATGAGCAGGCTTGTAGATCTAGCAGCAGCGGCCGGGTCTACCACAGTGAACTTTCGCCAAGAGCTTCATTTCACTTTGGAGAGACCCAAGAGGAAAATGCAGTTAGAAGTTTATAGATTGAGTATGTTTGGCGCTCTAGGCCCGGGAGAGATGCTGATGAGTGCGGCGCTTGCTCGCGCGCATAATCCCCAAAAACGGGCAGAGTTATCTTTGCGTGCCGGGACGTGAGCGCTCGCTTCACGATCAACCGGACGCTGCCTGGGACGTGAGCGCTCGCATCACGATCGATACCAGACGCTGCAGCTAGTTATCTTTGAGCGCTGGGACGTGAGCGCTCGCATCACGATTGATACCAGACGCTGCAAAGAGTTGTCTTTAAGCGCCGGGACGTGAGCACTCGCATCACGATCAACCGGACGCTGCCTGGGACGTGAGCGCTCGCATCACGATCGATACCAGACGCTGAAACAGAGTTGACTTTAAGCGCCGGGATGTGAGCGCACGCTTCACCATCAACCGGACGCTGCCTGGGACGTGAGCGCTTGCATCACAATCGACACCAGACGCTGAAGCAGAGTTATCTCTGAGCGCCGGGACGTGAGGGCTCGCATCACGATCAACCGGACGCTGCCTGGGACGTGAGCGCTCGCATCACGATCGATACCAGACGTTGCAGCAGAGTTGTCTTTGAGCGCCGGGACGTGTGCGCTCGCATCACGATCAACCGGACGCTGCCTGGGACGTGAGCGCTCGCATCACGATCGATACCAGACGCTGTAGCAGAGTTACTGTAGCAGAGTTATCTTTGAGCGCCGGGACGTGCGCGCTCGCATCACGATCAACCGGACGCTGTCTGGGACGTGAGCGCTCGCATCACGATCGATACCAGACGCTGTAGCAGAGTTACTGTAGCAGAGTTATCTTTGAGCGCCGGGACGTGTGCGCTCGCATCACGATCGACCGGACGCTGTCTGGGACGTGAGCACTCGCATCACGATCGGTACCAGACGCTGTAGCAGAGTTATCTTTAAAGTGCGTGCCGCCACCAGAAATCCTATTGGTTCACTTACTTGCTTTGTATTGCTTTGCTGGGAGTTTACGAGGAAGCCAGTAGTCGTTGTGCAGCCAAGATGGCGGACGCGTCTGGCCTGATTTAGGCGGAGAAGGCAGAAGAGGACCAGCGCCCCAGCTGTTGCAGAGAGGTGTGGGGGAGCCCCAGCGAGGCCGCGCGCGTGGCAGCGCCTATCCGGAAAGAGTGAGCTGTGTAGAGCTGGGGAGATAATTTACAGAGGAGCAGTAGGGATCTTAGTTGCGCTCTGAACCAGGTTGCTGTCATGGGAAGAATGTCTGGAGTGAGAAAGAGAGGTCCGTTAAAATCTCCTTTTTTGCAGCGGAGGCGAGTGTAACGCATCATGGATTTGTAGGGGCTAAGAGATGTGTCCGAGCGAGCTATTACTATATTGCAGGCTCCTTTGATTTTTGAATGTTTGAGATGGAGGTTGAAATGGTCAGGGTAAAGAGAAAGCAATGTCTAGGGCCGCATTGAACGTAGAGTGAGCAGTGGTGAACTCGCTTATGCGGAGAAAGCCATAAAAGGCGAGCAGGAAGACGCAGCGAAGGAGAGCAGACGTGTTCTTGGAAAAAGAGCCGGAGTTCAGTGTGGTGCAGAGCTGTTCCAGGATGGGCAGCGTGATGGGGAGCCGGTGGTCAGAAGAGTGGGGAGCGCATTTGTTAATGCCTTTGAAGAGGAGTTTAATTGAGGGTTCAGAGAATAGAGAGGAGAAGGCGGGGTTGTGACAGCGGGCCTGAAACTGAATGCCAGAGAGCAGCGTGCGAATGTAGGTTGTTTTGTGATGGAGATTGTCTGAGCAGTGAACTATGAAGGCTATGACAGTAGATACGGATGGAGGTAATGAAGGGATGTTGTGAGCGTGGCAGAAGAGGGAATAGGTTCTCCATGCGGAGCTGTATGTAGATAGAGTAGAGGGGGAGAGGCCCTTTTTCATATAGGATGAAGCAGAGGAGAGGAGGTGTGAGAAGGAAGGTGAGACTAGTCCAGGGTTAGTTGGTCCATGGTGGGAACCGCGCGTGGCTCCGTGCAGGCTGAGGGGCAGAGGCGCCGGAACTCCTGAAATTTAAAACGAGAAAGACTGTCAGCGATTTGATTAAGGTGACCGGGGACGTGGCGTGCAGTGATTATAAAATTATTCAAAACAGAGAACCAAGTAATGCGTCTGAGAAAAGACATTATGTTAGGCGAAGAAGAGCGGCCTTTGTTTAGTGCTTCCACCACGTCGAGATTGTCACACATTATGGAGATCCTTTTTCTCCGCCACGTATGACTCCAGAGCGCGCAGGCCACGACCACGGGGTAGATTTCGTGTAAGGCCGAGGAGATGCTCCGGGGAAAAGTAGCGGGCCACGGCCCGGCGAACCACTGGTCCTGATAGAATCCCCCAAAACCCACGGAAGGGGCAGCGTCCGTGTAGAAGCGGAGATCGTCGGAGGACCGGACGATATCGTCATAAAAGAACGAAATGCCGTTCCAGCGGTCCAGCAGGCGCGACCAGAAGTCCAGGTCGGAGCGGCACCCGTCGTCCAGGGTGAGCGTGTTGTGCAGGGAGGGAACCGAACCCGCGAGGGTGAGAAGACGTGAAATAAAAGAGCGGCCCTGGGGAATGATGCGGATGGCATAATTGAGGTGCCCGAGCAGAGAGAGCAGCTCGCGTTTTGTGATGGAGGGAGAGGATAGGGCAGATTGTGACACAGCGCGCACGCGCAGGAGCTTCTCCAGCGGGAGGGAGGCCTCCATGGCGCGTGTGTCGAGGCGGATGCCGAGGAACTCCAGGGCGGTGGCAGGGCCCACGGTTTTCTCCTCGGACAGGGGGACCCCGAAGGCCGAGAAGGCCGACTTCAGCCTACGGAGCGAGTCCCCGGAGCCGTCCGCGGGGGGGTCGACGAGGAGAAAGTCATCTAGGAGATGGAGGACAGAAGGGAGACGGAGGTCGTTCAACAAAATCCAGCACAAGGCCTCAGAAAGGTCATTAAATAAGGAAGGACTGCTCCTGCAGCCAAACGTGAGGCGCGCAGCAAAATAAAAGCCGGAACGCCACTTTACTCCAAACAGGTGCCAGTGGTCGGGGTGAATGGGCAGCAGCTTGAAAGCGTCCGTGATGTCCGCTTTAGACAGCCAGGCCCCAGGGCCGAAGGCCTTCACGAGCCGGATTGCGTGATCCACGGTGGCGTACTGCAGGGAGAAGGGCTCAAGAGGGATGAGACTGTTAATGCTCGGAACGGGTCCGGAGCGGGGGTGGGATAAATCAAATATAAGGCGCTTCTTCCCGGAATACTTGCGTGTGGCAACTCCCAGCGGGCTGGAGCGAAACGGGAAAAAGGGGGGCCTGGAAAAGGGGCCGATGATGTAGCCCTTGTGCACCTCCCGGGCGAGGAGCTGCGTGACCACGAGAGGCTCGCGGAGAGCAGATTGCAGGTTGCGGGCCACGTAGGACGCCGAGGGGAGAGCCGCCACTCCAACATGGAACCCCCGGGCCAGGCCTGTCAGGAGAAAGTCAACAAAGGCCCGGTCAGGATGGGGCGCGAGCGCGCGGGCCAGCGCGGGCACGGAGACTGGGGTTGAGAGGTGGGAAGTGATCAAGGCCTGGACGAAGGCCCCCCGGAACCGCGGCCCGGGCGGGGGCGACGGGGGCACACGGAACGTGGATGGGCCTCCCTGCACACACTGCAAATGTGGAGATAACAGCAAGATGTAAAGTTACACGTGCCAGCGTTGAACGAACGGCACACACTGTTCAGATCGTATACCTCCGTTTTGGGAAATGAAGGCCCACGGGGCCTAGGAAACTGACCAGCGCCGACGTCGAACGGAATGGAAGGGCAGAGGGGAGAGCTGTGGCCGGCCGCGCCGCACCGGGAGCAGGAGACCGCGGGGGCACTTCCAACGGACAACAGCAAGACCTCCGTGTCCAGGACCGCCCAGTCCACTCTGACATTAGCCTGGAAGACGAGGGCCGCGGCCTTGGCGGCGAAGGCCCGATGGTAGCGGTAGAAATGAGAACCGCCGTAGCGGAGGGCCAGGTCTTAGGCCCAGAAGGCCACGAGAAACTCCCCGATGGATAGCTCCCGCGAGAGGCGGGGATCAGCAGTCTTTATGACCGCAGTGACCAGGGAGGAGGCCGCCACCTGCCTGTCACACTCGGGGGAGGGGAGGATGAGGGAGACCAAATTGATGTAGCGCCCCAGCAATATTTTTGACCGCAGCCGCGGGGAAACATTTGAGTAGGCATTGATAAAGGGCCTACCGGACGCCGTAGCCGCCACGGCCGTGGAGAGGGTGAAACCGACGTCCAGGGAGTCGCCGGGAGGCGCAGTGGCGGGAGCGGCCACCGGAGCCACGGCGGGGGTGGGAGGTTGGGTTTCCACGACGCGGAGCCGGCCGGACACTGCGGCCACCGAGCTCTGGAGAGATGACACCGCCAACAGGATGGCGTCCGTGCGCGCGCACAGGAGTTCACGGTCCTGAGCCGCAGCTGCCACATGGGCCGCGAAGGCTGCCGCGAAAAGATCCGGCTGGGGAGGGGGCACGCCGGGAGCCGCGGGGGCGGCCCGGGAGACGTCGATGGGCGCTGGGGGAAGCAGGGGCCCGTCGAGCGCAGAGGAAGGGGGGCAGGCACGCGTTGGCGGCAGGTGGTTGGCCTTACGACGGCGCTTGCGAGGAGGGGAGTCCGGAGCTGGGGGGGGGGAGGCGGAATCCGCTAACAGCTGCTCCACGAGGCGCTGGAGCTGCAGCGGGGTAGCATCCGGACCTGGCACGACGCCACGGGCCGTGAGGAAGGTGAGGACGGACCCAGCATCCTGGGACGCCAGGCGCGCGCTCTTCCGGGACCGGTCGGGCACAGGCGAGGGGGGAACGAACAGGTCGTTCAGAGAACTAGGCGAAGAGCCCGAAGCAGACGGGGGCGCACGAGCGTGAGGCGAAGAACGCATGGCAGACAGGTATAATACACTGACAACACTTTGCTGGCTTCGGAAGGCCGGGATGTGGGCGTCTCCGGCTTTTAACTTGCTGTCCTGGTGGTTATTGGTGGATTAGATGTGGGCGTTTTTCTGGTGTAATGAGTTGAGGATGAGCAGGCTTGTAGATCTGGCAGCAGCGGCCGGGTCTACCACAGTGAACTTTCGCGAAGAGCTTCATCTTTGATTTCCGCTTGAAGTTCCAAGGCTTCATTCTGAGCTCTCATTTCTTCTTCCTTCATTTTGTGCTCAAGTTTTTCCTTCATTACCCTTTTTTTTAGTTCACGCTTTTCTTTAAAGACAATTTCCTTTGCAAGTAAAGCAGCTCTTTTTGCCTCTGCTTGAGCCCGAAGAGATGAAGACATTCTTGAGTTACGAGATGAAGACGTTCTTGAGGTACTTGACTTCATGGATATATTGGAAGCGCTGTCTGCAGCATTTATTTCATCCAGCATATTTTCGCATTGGTCCTTGACATAAATATCAGTCTTATATTGTTCATATTCAGAAATGTCCTTCAAGTACTGAGCCACAGATTCCCCACAGCTTTGAACACTTAACATCAGTTTATCAAATGCCCGACCAGAGAGGAGAACACTCTGGATCACTGTTACACCACCGTGCGCGGAGCTTTTCGCGCTGTTCCCAAGCCAGCCCTCGGCTTCTCAGATCACTCCATGATACATCTGGTTCCTGCTTACAGACAGAGACTAAAGCTCTCGAAACCTGCAGTGAGGAGCTCCAAAGTGTGGTCTGATGAAGCTGTGAAAGAGCTGCGCGCATGCATGGAATCTACAGACTGGGACCTTTTCAGAGCTGCCACAGATAGTTTGGATGAATACACGGACACTGTGACGTCATACATTCACTTCTGCGAGGATAGCATCATTCCAACAAGGACCAGGGTCATCTATAACAATGACAAACCCTGGTTCACTGCTAAACTCCGGCAGCTCAGGAAAGCAAAGGAGTCTGCTTTCAGGGAGGGGGACCGCAGCGGCTACAAAGCAGCTAAATATCAGTTCAGGAAAGAACTGAAAGCAGCCAAGTCCCGGCACAGAGAACGACTACAGGAGCAGTTTGGTAACAACGATACTGCTTCTGTCTGGAGGGGCCTACGGGAGATCACCAACTACAAACCCAAAGCCCCCCCCTGTGCTGACGACCACAAGCTAGCTGACGAACTGAACTTATTTTTCAGTCGCTTTGATGCTGCCCCTGACACCTCTCCCTCCCCCACCCCCCACTACTCTAACGACCCACCCATCAGCCCTGCCCCCAGCCTAACAATAGCCGCTAAAGAGATTAAACAACTCTTCTTGAGGCTGCACCCCCGCAAAGCTCCTGGCCCGGACCACGTGTCTCCGGCCACTCTGAGACACTGCGCCAGTGAGCTTACTCCTGTGTTCACTGACATTTTCAACACCTCTCTGCAGTCCTGCCATGTCCCGGCCTGCTTCAAATCCTCCATCATTGTCCCCGTCCCGAAGAAGCCCAGGATCACAGGACTCAATGACTACAGACCTGTAGCACTTACGTCTGTCGTCATGAAGTCATTTGAACGCCTGGTTCTCTCCCATCTCAAGTCCCTCACCTCCCCCCTCCTGGACCCCCTGCAGTTCGCCTACAGAGCCAACAGATCTGTAGACGACGCCATTAACCTGGCCCTCCACCACATCCTACAGCACTTGGACTCCCCGGGGACCTACGCCAGGGTCCTGTTCGTGGACTTCAGCTCTGCCTTCAACACGATCCTGCCATCCCTGCTCCAGGACAAGCTCTCCCAGCTCAACGTGCCCGATTCCACCTGCAGGTGGATCACTGACTTCCTGACGGACAGGAAGCAGCGAGTGCGTCTGGGGAAGAATGTCTCGGACTCTCGGATTATAAATACAGGAGCCCCACAGGGCTGTGTTCTTTCTCCCCTGCTCTTCTCCCTGTACACCAACCACTGCACCTCCAGCCACGACTCCGTGAAGCTGATCAAGTTCGCGGACGACACCACCCTCATTGGACTCATCTCCAACAACGATGAGTCCGCCTACAGGAGGGAGGTGGACCGGCTGGTGTCCTGGTGCAGTGGTAACAACCTGGAGCTGAACGCCCAGAAGACAGTGGAGATGATTGTGGACTTCAGGAAGAGCACTGTCCCCCCGCCCCCACCCTCCGTGATGGACTCCCCCATCACCTCTGTGGAGTCCTTCCGTTTCCTGGGCACCACCATCACCCAGGACCTCAAGTGGGAGCCGACCATCAGCTCCCTCATCAAGAAGGCCCAGCAGAGGACGTACTTCCTGCGGCAGCTCAGGAAAGCCAAGCTGCCTGCACAGATGTTGGTGCAGTTCTACACGGCCATCATCGAGTCCATCCTCACCTCCTCCGTCACCGTGTGGTTCGCTGGAGCCACAGTCAGGGACAAACAGAGACTACAGCGCATTGTGCGCTCTGCAGAGGAAGTGATCGGCCGCAGCCTTCCATCGCTGCAGGACCTGTACGTCGCCCGAGCTCAAGGCCGGGCTGGTCGTATCACAGCCGACCCCTCTCACCCTGCACATGGACTATTCCAACCACTCCCCTCAGGCAGGAGGCTGCGGTCCATCAGGACTAGAACCTCCCGCCACAAGAACAGTTTCTTCCCCTCTGCTGTTGGACTCTTGAACACTTCTTAACCTGTCCCCCCGCCCTTTATAAAGTCACTTTACTGCCCATCATACGTCACTTTACTTCACTGTACTGCTGTCACCTTACATTGTGTGCACCATGTGCACTTGTATATTGTAAATAGTAACTGTAACTCTATTTTAAATTTAAATTTATTCTTTAGAAGTGTTTTTTATTCTTATTTTTATTATCTCTTTTTGACTGTTGCACTGAGCCAAAGCAATTTCCTAGTCTGTGACCTCCTGTTACTTACGTGGCAATAAAAATGATTCTGATTCTGATTTAAACCATATTTCGTTTTTCTCCTTTTCTGCTTCTGGCAACAACTCAAGGAGACCATTGTGTGCATTTTTTACATCATTAATGATTGCTTCATATTTTGCAAAAGTACCTTGAACTTCTGCTTTGAATCCAGGTTGTGACATGAGCCCATTGAGTGTGTCTTTAACATTGTTTGCCTTTTGAAAAAGTGATTTTATCAAGGTTTCAAAGTCACCAATTTTGAACAGAAGTGCTTTCTCAGTTAATTTTACCTTACGTTTACTTTTAACAATCTCATCCTGGTTTTGTTCACCTTCAAGAGGAGCAGCACACACATCAAGCGGCACACTACTATGTTCATGTAAACTCATTTTGATTTTAACACACAAAACACTTTAAACAAAAGTAGGGGACCTTTAAATTGTCCCTTTGTGCAATAACAGACGTCTTCTTTAAAGTTCAGTTCGCTATACCAATGCATTGGATTTATAGGCCTTCATTTCATTCAAGTCTCCGCTTTAATCTTTAGCGCGCACTTTAACTGCGCTAAACACGAGTACCTTATAAAGCTGGTCTTTCCTAATGTATGGGCCAGACAAGCCCGCTGAATCTTCTTGGTCGCCCCAGGCACACCTTACCGAACCGCTCGGTACCAGATCCGCATCTGCTTCTTGGCCGCCCTAGGCACGACCTTACCGAACCGCTCGGCACCCCAGACACCGGCCCCGGTAACCTCCGTAGACCGCTCCGCTCTGCAGTCTCCCCGCCGCTGCTGCTCGAAGGCGAGATCCAGTCTCCCAGCCCCGCTCCTTGCTGTCGCTGCTGCTCGAAGGCGAGACCCAGTCTCCCAGCACCGCTCCTTGCCGCTGTACGCTTTTCAAGCCGTGCACAGATGAGTACAGCCCCGTCAGTCCGTTCTATGCTCCCCGTGTGCACGAGCCTTCCTTCACGCCCAGTGGAGCCAGGTCGCGTTGGTATCACGCACACAGTGCTCCACCAATGAGGATTTAACATGTTTCTGCTGCTTCAGAAACACCTTATGTCTGTGCAGATGTGATCCCTGACCTCTTCATTTTGTCTGTGTGTGCATTTTTAAGTGATACATTTCATCCAGGTATGGCGTTCGCTTTGTCCCTGTGCGTCAGGAGTAGAGTTTCGCTTTTCAGCCCGAGCCCGAGCAGGCCCGAGCCCGACCCGAGTTCATTGGCCTTTGAGCCAGAGGGTCATGGGTTCGAGTCCGACTTTCACCATCAACTCCCACTGTCTGTTGTCGTTGTGTCCTTGGCAAGACACTTAACCTCTGGGAACACCAGCCACAGTGGGGCGGCTGCGACTGTAAAGTGCCAAACTGCCGTTTTGTCCTTAGGCAAGACACTTTACCCCCATTGCCTGGAATGAGTCTGGTGTGTGTGTGAATGGTTGGTGGTGGTCGGAGGAGCCGATGGCGCATACTGGTTGCCTCACTTCTGTCAGTGTGCCCCAGGGCAGCTGTGGCTACAGTAGTAGTTTATCACCACCATGTATGGAGTGAATGAATAATGACACATGTGAAGCGTCTTTGAGTGTCCAAAAAAGCGCTATATAAAACCGATGGATTATTATTATTAATAGAAATGGATCGAGTGGAGGTACAAAACAAATTCAAAAGTGGAGACTAAACTTGCAATTGGAAGGTGAGTGTGCACAACAAGGGAAAACAGATGTGTCTGGCTTTTGTCGGGCTCGGGCCTATTATACAACGTTAATTGGTCGGGCTTATACGGGCTCGGGCTTAATATTAGTGGGCTCGGGCCGGGTCGGGCTTGATTTTTCAGGCCCGAACAAAACTCTAGTCAGGAGGGAGAGAGAGGCCGCATTCAGAAATGGGACAATGCAAAGGAAAAGACATCTCTGCTCTGATCATTATGAATGGCAAATATGTTGCTAAAGAAAAACCACGAGCAAACATGAATTTGCTATTTTTTCACGTACAGTTCACCTCTTTTCACATAGAATCCAATGACATGAAAATTGATTTCTGCATAAACCCAAACCAGACCCGAGTGAAACCATACAAAATAGAACCGTGTTCTGTCGAGTTGCGCCGCTTGTTGAGTTGGTGGTGCTTTCGTAAAGTTTCTTTACGAAAGAATTAAGGCAAAAATTAATACATGAATTTCACACGAATGTCACCACACTGCTATCACACAGTAGTAGGTGGTTTCACAGGAGCAGTTACTCCTTAAACCAAACTTTACAAGAAACTTTAACTCTTAAAACCCACATAAAACATGGAACCATCAACATCTCGCCTCAAATTGCATTAAAAGTGACATTTGTGTCTTAATTAGTTCGTAATTACACTTTTTTCACAATTAACAGGCTTTAGATCCGCCATCTTGTTTTGCTTCAGCTGCACTGGAATGCACTTGTGCAGGTCTGCATTACATCATAAACAGCTGAGGCAGCTCAAATCGACAAGCGGCGCAACTCAACAGAACACCTGCCTTGTCCCAAGATCTTCATCTCTCGTTCAAACGTCAATAACTGCGCAAACATGTCTTTCTGGAGCTGTTCACTGGGATAAGGCAGAGCAACATCAGCAAATATCATGAAAATGACCCCTGGACCCACTTGATTTGCAAACTCACAGATCCAAGACATAAAGACTGCATTAGAGCTTTTCAGACCAAACTTTGAAAATAAAGTGGTTTTCTGAAGAACAAAGGCTCATTTTACTAACAAATCTATGCAGGGTCAAATTTGACCCTAACAACATTTATATGTTCAACTTTTTTCAAAAGTTATATTCTAATATTGTTCTATTATAGTTAGAAAACATTTATCTATGCATTTTACATTTAATAAAATATGATTGAAAAAACCTTATTTTCAGCTTAAGAATAAGGGACACGATCTGTCTCAAGGGCCATAAAATAAAATAAAAAAATAGATATTATGACTTTGAATGCATATAATGTTAGTTAAGATGTAGTACTAACTATATCAAGTGATAATTCTTCCTTTTTATTGGTCAGGACTGAGTTAGACCCCGGGTCAAAATTGACCCGCTAACAACAAGCAGTGGTGCCGGTTCCTAACACAACATGAGGGTTAAGGAACTGAAATAATTATCAATGGACATCTTATGTTTTTTGGGTGTTTATGTTTTCTGTGACTTGTCAGGAAAGCCCTCAAACAATATCAAAAATTGTATTCTACTGACAACGTGCAACATTTCGTGATTGATCAGATGAAACGTCTCTTGGCTTTTCTCACCTTTGGTACAAATTTGACATTATCTAAAGTGATGTGAAATGAGATGGACGGAACAGTGATGTCATGATTAGCGTGTGCAAGGCACGGGCTGTCAATCATTCAAGCTGCAGCCAACCAACCCTGGAAGGATAGAAGCCAAGGGCACGAGATAAGAGGCTGCATGGTGTGTGGAATAACAAGGACAGGGCACAGACGGATCTTAGAATCATTGAACTTCATGACAGATAATAAAGTAAATCTTATTCCATCGGCTCATCCGTGTAATTACGTTATTGGCCTTAATATGTTTAAATAAAAGTCTGTTATTTGCTGTTATTTCAAAGAAAACTTCAATACCACCAAACTCATATTGAGTTTAGGCTGTTTTTCTATAAGCTTTGACATTTTCCATGATTATCTAACAGTAATTATCTAAACACTTTTTTGGCTAATCATTCTATTTTGACACTTTCAATTTTAAGATAATTGCAAGATAATGTGCATGTATTTTCTCAAGATAAAAATACATTAACTGTATTTTTATATTCAGAACTGCAACCCGACACGGTGACTTGTTATTTAGGAGGTGATGTTACTGAGTTGGCATGAATGTTGTGACAGATCATTGTTCAACCAGAATGCAAGAGTAAACACACAATTTTCCTTAGATCAGACCCCCAAAAAAGGCAATCACTTTCAACCCTGTAAAAATCTAAACACACATTATGCCCGTGCGGATGATAATAGTAAAGGAAATGATGGAAAAACGTGGACATGGCCAAATAGAAAGAATAAAAAATAGCCATACCAAATATCATATATCATTATTTTTTATCATTGGTTCGTGGCCCATGGAAGCTGCGCCTGGGAGCTGGCACCCATGGCTGTCAACTCCCAGGACCTTAAAGAGAAGTAGGACAGACGCGTGGAAGCAGATTTGATGGACAGTGGCTGTGAAATGCTCCTCTTTTGTAGAAATTCGAGTGACAGTTGAGCCAAAAGGCTGTGTGTATTGGCTGTGTGTATTTTTATAACTTCTGCAGCCTTCAAAACATTTTGTTGATACAGTTTTGTGTACACTCCCTGAGACAAAATTGAGCTGCTTACTTATTTAAGTGTCACTTGGGTGTGTTCAGAAATCCATGACTTTTTAGGGGGTGGCTTTGTTTTTTCTTTGACACCCTGGTTAACTACTATGTTCAATTTCTTCAAAACAGTTTTCTTGATCAATGAAGTGTAACGTATTTTCAGGTTAAACAAGTCTGCCTGAAAAAGGTCTAAACTGGACCCACTTCTGTCTTGGCTTAAGCCCCACTCTGCAGCCGGGGTTCTGTGTGTGACAGCCTGGGGAGCCATCATCTCCACTCCTCACAGCTGTTCCATAGAAAATATTGGCTTGGCTTATAGCACATTTATTTCCTGTGACTCGTTCGATACCGGTGAGGGCTGAGATTCAAAGTAGGAACTGTGATTCCATGGTATCTCCAACACCTTATTCACAGGCTGTGTGAAAAAACATGAATGATGATGGGTGCGTATTTTGGAATTTGTTTTGTTTTTTCTATTGACATGTCACAAAGCGGCTAACAGGTTGTGTTCATTTATAGATAACTTTTTTGTGGACTCAAGGTCCTGATCAACACAGACTGAGACAAGAAAAAATATACAACATACAATGAAAAACCTCTAAACTTTCAAGAGGCAGTCATACCAATGTTTCCACAGCACTGGTCACTAAAACACTGGACAAAATGTTTTGAAGGCTGTTGAAACGTCGGGAAAACCTGCCAAGACTGAGAGCTTACACAAACTGGACAATAAAATAATCACAGCATTTTTTTTTTTTTATTATTATTCAAGGGACTTAAACATAACATTTCTCAAGACAGCTTGCAAAGTCTTTACTCGATTTTTAAATACAATTCTCAATGCATCATTATGTGCAACTGTAAGTTTCGGAAAGCTGGACTTTTTGTAATTCACCCACAGATGTGCGGTGTACAGAAGTGAGCAGTAGGCTCGGAACAGAGCTTATTTCACCTGTACAGAGCAGGAGACACTTATCAACACTTATTGGTCATATAAAAAAAACGGATGACACATGGTCTTTAAGGGGCAGCCCTTATAGACCAGTACCAATGTGTTTTACCAATGTGTTCTCTCATCTGTGCTGACAAATTAAGCGGTTGTGTAAAGTCCTCCTAGATAATAACTGTTTTAGGGTTGTTCAAGGATACATTGAGTTGAATTGAATTGAGTGAATAGCAAACTCTGAATAAGTGTAGCACTCACAGGACGAATGCAAATCATACATGAGATGTCTCAGCTTCATAAAATAAGGTATGAACCTTTTTTGGATCAGTGAAAGCATCTATGCTAATCCTCTGCACTGCCAGGTGCAAATCCAGTCATCTGTTTTCAGCTGCTCCCTCGTTACTGCAACACAGTAACGAGGCTTTGTTTTACTGCAGAAGACTAATGTCTGACTGTGTTCACAGCAGGAGCCTGTGCATGTTACTAGGAGGGAAAGCTAAAAGTTATAAAAAGCTTCACAACTGGAGACAAAATCTAAGCTGTTAAAAATCAACTGCAGTACAATTCATATGTAGTCTTTATCTCAACAACTATACAACAATAATACAATATCCCCATCCTTCTGTACTCTCTGGTTCTCTGGTCTCCCCTGGTCATTCTTCAAAATGACTTTTCTCAGCTCGGGAATCACAAAGTTTCTCTTGGCAGGGCTGTCGGCCACCACAAGTATGG